CTCTTCCACCTGAATTGGTTCTGATTTACGCGTCGGTCACTTCTTCCGCTTCCGCTGTCCGCTGGTTAATACTCCACAGCTGAACGCTCAACTATTGAACTCCCTTACGACTCAATGAACGATTTCACGAATAAATTTTCTTTTATGACTACCTCCGACGTTTCGTGTATAAATCTGTTATTGTGTTCTTATCCGTTGCTACGAAACGTGCCTAGTGACTTTCTACCCAGGAACAGAGGTCCTTCCACAGTTGAGTGCGCAACATCAGAAAAGCGTTTACCAAACCGTTGCCTAGCAATGGTCAAATTCCTCGCAATATAGCCTCAGGATTGCGTATGTAATGTTACACTAATAAATATGACAAATGATAAATGGTTACTGTTCAGAAAACAAATGCTCTTCGTGTAGAAGGCGAATATATATTAATTTTCAAGACTGATAATTTATGATGGGACTGTTGACATGATGGTCCCTAAATAACATAGCAACATGGCTCTTTCTTGGGGCGGGAACAGGGCAAATTAGTAAAGGACATGATCCCACGTGAGTGTGTGTTACAATCATTAATTTCACTGGTCGCTAGATGAAGACTTGCATGCCACATATCTGCCATAATTTATTACTGGTAATGTAAGCGTAAGGTCGATATTCTGTTACTGGGAATAGCGCCGTACCTTGAAGAGGAAGGGGAAAGAAACGTAGCAATGAAGTAGTGTATGACGTAAGAAAATAGAAGACTAATTTTACTTAGTGACTATCAGACACTGTATAAAATACATAGAGATCCCAGACAATGCCATACTCACTAAAAGTAAACAGTGCAAAGAATTTATTAAGAATTAAAATTTGATATACATAATGTAAGAGGTTCTTCACAGTTCCAGCTTATTTGATTAAAGAGATAAGCATCCCGTGGAGGCCCATACAGTTAGTGAGACGTCGAGGCTGCCACATTTTCTAGACAATCGTCACAAAGATGGTGGTGAGGTTGTCATCCTTAGCGCCTGTGTGCCCCCCATTAGCCTTAGAAAGATTCCTGGTAGTCATTTTCGTTAGAGGCTGAGTTGACCCCAGGACCATAGTGCGGCTGAAAGGATTAGGTCAATTTAAAAATCTAGTGACCTCAAAGCGAATCGAACCCGCGACTTTCCGCCTCGTATAATAGTGCCTCAACCACCTACGCTACCATGTGCCCTCCCCTAGCTTGACATACTAAAGAATCGATTTAGGAAAATTGTTATAATAATCCGTTTTATAAATTATAACGTCTGTTAACGTCCTAAAAGTTAAATATTTTTTTTAGAAATTGGACACACTTCTAATAAAATAAAAGTTTAACCTGTTACTAATCAAAATATTCAAGTAAAGTGTAATTTATTGATCATATGCGGTAGTAAATATCCAAGAACTCGCCTTTGCGATCAGTGCCACTGACACACGAGCCTCATCTTCCTCTCTTTTCTGAGCAACATTTACGTTTGTACAGACTGTACAGAAAATTGCATGTTGTGTTTGTGTACAGGCATCTCGACACTAGTAACATGACGTTATAGATATCGTTCGATATAGAATTCTGTAATGTCGGCGTCGGAGGCTTTTATGCCTACATTGCTTTATTGGTTTAGAAATCCTTAAATTTCTCAGATACCTAACTAATATAATTTTAAACATGGTATGTTTGTTTCTTGTGTAAAGAATTATAACCATGATTTATTTAAACCGTCTTGCAGTGCATACACTCATCTATCTCCTTCTCTCACTCGCACTACATGTTTCGGCATAAAAATGCCATCTTCGGGTGCTTACTCAATCCACGCCAAACTAGTTCATTGCATGCCTTGTCCTCACATTAAAATAACTAAAATATATATCTATCATATACATTGACAAATGTCAAACGTTAAAAATATTAAAATTGTTCAGGATTCCTCATCGTTACGTCGCACCTCACTACGCCAGTCACGCCCATCCTCCTCTGTTGGAGCACTCCTTCACTATCGTGTGTGTGTTGTGCTTTTGTTGTGTCTTGCTCCTGTGACTGCGTGTGTTATATAACAATCCTGTACAATTTTAATATTTTTAACGTTAGACATTTGTCAATGTATATGATAGATATATATTTCAGTTATTTTAATGTGAGGACAAGGCATGCAATGAACTAGTTTGGCGTGGATTGAGTAAGCACCTGAAGATGGCATTTTTATGCCGAAACATGTAGTGCGAGTGAGAGAAGGAGATAGATGAGTGTATGCACGGCAAGACGGTTTAAATAAATCATGGACTTAAATCAGTGCAACAGGACGCTAAAATATAACATTAAGAATTATAACGTTTAATTATAAATTAAAATTTATGCTTTGTACTTGCAATCAAAAATTTTGACACGTTTAAATAGTGCAAATCAATCTTAAAAATTACATGTTTGTTTTGTTTGTATTACATAAGAGCCACAATTTGTCGTACAATCAATTATACATGTAAATGAATCGTAAAGCCTTCCAAAATATTTCCAGTGGATGGTGTTCATGTTTTATTACTTTCGATGAAACAAGAACAAATTCATTTAACCAAGGATTTCCTCACAACATCGATATGGATATCGAACATTCCTCCCCGACATCGTGTCATGTAGGTACGACTGGATATCCGTATGTACGTGTAGTTTTTACTGCTTCTAGAGATTCAATGTAACGGATTTCTCAGAGCCGAACTTACGCGACCACGTGACAAATGTCGATCCTGAGGAGAGTGGTGATCACACTGACCACTTAAACCTGACAGCGAAATTTACACACATATATCATTTGCTCTGTGTCCATTGCGGTGAAAATATTTCTCTCATATCGACTGTATCATCATCAACGTACTTCATGTCATCAAACTATCTGTGCAACAGGAGATGCTGATTATTCAACCAGGATGATTTCAGCAACACACCAAGAATCATCGACAACATATTTCACCTTGAACATTTTATTCTTTTTCAAACTTCGCTTTCCCCTGTTTAGGATAAGATTTATGACACTCAAAAACTCTTTCATTAAATCCTTTAAACCATGTCTCTAGAACTAGGTTAAAGAATTGTTTATGATTTTAGAGATGCCTATCACAACCAAAAACCTCTGTCTGGTTAAGACTAATAATAATTCAATTCTTTATTATTTATGTGCCGAGTCAACAGCCGCAAGGCCAGTTACAGACACAGTACAGTGTAGATACAAGCAATTACATTGTGGACAATCGCAACATAAAGTCAAAGACAAATTTCAGGCAAGCACTGGAAGAAAAACGTATTAATGAAGAGAAGTAAACAAAAAACAACAATACTAATAATAACTTCATTAACATAGATCAATAATGCAGAGAAATTAACAAACAAATAATATTAATAAAAGGCCAAGTCTTTGGTCTTTTGTTAGGTTTGTTAGCGAATGATTGAGAATAGGAGCGGAAGGCACATACATACATACACGTATGTTCGAGTAGGTGTCCACCTATGCTTACTTCATGAGATTTGGTTCCGTACTTCTTTTCTGAGATTGAGGGATTTATTCTAGTAATAAAATTAACAATAGTAATAATAACAGTATTGTGACATGACACCTGAAAGCCGGAGTAGTGGAGCAAGAACAGACGTCATTTGTTAAGCAACAGCTCGGTAAATGCATTCTCGCGGCAACGAATATGCAAGCAACAATCGAAGAGTTATCTTTTCTTTGCAACGGCAATGTAAACACGTCTCTATAACAATAGAGGAATTGTGAGGAAACGACGTTCGCTGTGGCTCCACGCCGAGACCATATAAGGACAAGAACTGAGGAAGTCTGAGAAGACGGCAATCGAAGATGACTGAGAAGAAATGGCAAAAGATAATTAGGCTGGGCAATGAAGACTTCATGTATGCTGCAGTGACAGAGAGGCTTATGAATCCGTTGCCAGGATAAGACTAGTGAAGGCTGAGAACACTATTGTGTGTGTGTTTGTGTGTGTAACGATGAATTGTAAAGCAATAGCGCTGTAATTGTCTGTGGTTTCGAGTGCTGTGTGTAAGGCGACAATAGTGTAATGTAATGTATGCAAGGGGTGGGCCATAAAACCGCCCCCCGCACTGCGGTCTTCAATGATCTATTGTGCTTCCCCTTGGATTGGCCCGTTTTTAATCCCACACTTCTAATGAAGTGTAGGGCCCTGCTTATGGGGGCGTCATAAAAGTCACTTGGTTCCATGAAGAACTGACCCAGGTGACGAAATCTTACGTAAGCTATGACCTTACAGTCACATAGGATGTGTAAAATAAGGCGTCAGTAAATCCAGTCATCCATTTCAAACCCCGTCTAATATTCACAACTTTAAAAGCTGACAGTACAATGAACGTTAGACGTAATCATTTAAATCAATTTGTTGAAACGCTAAAGCACTGGTTATTACAAGAAGTGAGCACAACTTACTTCACTGACGGAACAAGGTAAAGCAGGGAACGAAAAAAGAAACAAACACAGAGTGTGCAAGTTACAATTAAGGTACTTGAGGCTCGAATGTCGCATTTCTGCTTCGTCCCGGATTCAAACCTTAGCCCAGAGACCGGTTATTTTACCTATATTTCTTTGTCCTCATATTTAGTCAGCCCAGGTAAATGCGTTGATATTGCCTTAAATTAGATCACGAGCCCTTCTTTTCACTTCCTTTCCCATCCATAATGCAAGGTGATTCTAAATTATTGTCGGGATTTCCTTGGCCTATAAATGAAAAACCCGACAATAATTTGTATCATCCTGTACATTAAATATATTGATAAGCCTACAATTCGACGGTGTATGATATAAAACAATCAAGCATCGTTAAAAGAATCATGAATAAATAAAACCAAGATAAAAATGCGTCATTAGATAACTCCTTAATGGGCCTCAGAGAAAGGAACTCACGAAGAACGACAAATTTATGGACTGCGAATGGCCTTATCACATCTCACAATCCACGTGGATCCGTAGGGCTTGCGTGTCTACGCCTGTCTTCGTATCGCGACTAAACGGCATGCACGACCTTCAGATGGCCACTGCGCCTCTCACACGTCGCGTGTAACTTAAAGGAGTCGGAGTCCGCAGGCTTTCAGGTAGCTCCAAGAGAGATCTGCTGTAGGTCATCAGCGGTGAGTCGGGGTGATTTATCAGAACGCTTGATTTTTTCTCTGGCTCTACAGCCACCTTGGGTCCTGGCCTCTGACTTTTCAGTATCATGATCATTTTACAGACGGTAGGACTCCTTGGACGAGTGATCAGCTCGTCGCAAGGCCTCTACCTAAACACAGGACAACACAAGCACAGAATAAACAATACACATACCAAACATCCGTGCCTTGTGTGGGATTCGAACCCATAATCCCGGCTTCCGAGCGAGCGAAGACACTTCATGTCTTTGACCGGAGAATATTTGATTTAGGTTTCAGAAAGTAACAAGGGGAAATATATAAATCAAATTGCGTGTTATAAAAACTTGGCCTCATGTTACTGCTTAATCTTGAATATATTCTGGGAGGTGACTCCGTCTAGTCTGGTAAAAGTTCATGCCCATGACCATCTACCGAACTACACGGCGTCTCATCCCAGAAGCTAGCAGTTATATAGTCACCGCTGTGAGAAAACCTAATACATATTCCCTTTCTCTACTGAAATTAATCGAATTAATTATTTGTGTTATGTTTACAGTCTTGGTTCTTCTGTCGCTAGTCCTGCTCACATTGTGGTTACGCCTGGATCTAAACAGAAACAAAGTTACTACGCCCCTTTCTGAACAAAGAAATCTAAACGTCAACTTAAAACAAGAGGAAAATGCATGCAAGACACGAGACTTCAGACAAGAGCGGCAGGCTGTTCCAGCGTCATGTGTCAGTCATAGGAGAGGTCATTGAGACCAGTAGATTGAGACCAGCTGTCTTCACTGTTAAGTCAACATCCGACGTCGAGCCACACCACAGAATAGAGTCGAATATTTTCTATGACAATCTGAAGCCATTTATTTTTGTTATGCGTGCGATGGGCGTATCTCCTGTGCGTGTCACATCTAAAGGTAATGACTTTTACCGTCATCGTAGAAAGTGTGAAAATTTCTATCTTCTGGGAGACAACGCCATGTAGTCCCATAAGCGTCTAATTGAGTTTTATGGGGCTAACTAACTATCCCCATGGATCTGAGTCCTCCTTGTGAAGCTTCCAGTCGTCAGCCTGAATTGTACTCTAAAGGGGTCTGACGGTGGTGCACCATACTCAGATTTACTGGGTTTGGGGGCTTTGTCCATCGTTCGTTATTCTAGAAACTGGATTAAGGGACCCAACAGAGTAGATGTCTCCCATCTCACCTGAGGACGGAAAGAGATCCAGTTTCTGAAACCTTATGTTTTCTAGTTTCTAGAATACATGATGATGGACAAAGCCCAAAAACCCTAATGCTGAGCACTCAAGAATTTCACCAACTTCTATGGAGCCCGAATGTTTATTTCCACCTTCACAAGAGCCCACCACTACTCCCTACCCTGACCCACAACAATCCACTCCATCCTATCTCTCTAAGATCCATTTTAATATTATCCAACCTCCCAGGTCTTTCATCCTAGTGATCCCTTTCCTTCTGGCTTTCCCACCAATATCCTATATGCATTCATCTTCTCCAATCATGCTATACTTCCTGACTATCTCATCCTCCTTGACTTGATAATTGTATCTGTACTTTACGTAGGGTACAATTTTTGAAGCATTCTAATGTTACAACCGTTTTCTATCGGATTATACAGGGTTATATCCCAGAAGCTAGTCGCCGGTGTGAGGTCATCAAGTCCAACAGCTTGCAGCTGGAAACTGAAACTGGTCTGCTCTCTCTAACCGAAATCCTGGCTTTGTGGAAATTGTGTCCCTTCCGTCTCACAATATGAGTAGGCTTTCTGGCCCCATTTTGAGACATCTCATCATGGGGTATATTCCGTACAATCATCAGAGCAGTTTCGTTCTTTATACACCTATCTGTCTGAGTATGCCTGAAACCTTACGCACAACAAGTCCATTTGAACCAATGATCATACCGACATACTTGTAACCTATCTCTATCTACACACAGCTTCGGGTTTGCATATAAACGAATTTTCGGGCGTTAACATGTTATATAAACATAATTTACAGTGCCATAGCTCAAGCGGTTAGTCGTTGGCTTCCCACCGCGGTGGCCCGGGTTTAATCTCGGGTCTGTTCAAGTGGGATTTGTGGTGAACAAAGTGGCGCTAGGGCAGGTTTTCTCCGAGTACTTCGGCTTCCCTGCCAATCTTCATTCCACCAGTTGCTCCACAATCACCCTCATCTATCATCTGGGGCTGGTACAATAGGCCAGAAGTGGCCGCAGAACAAGGGACTTAGTCCCATCCCACTAGCAATAAAATAATAAGCATAATTTATACAGAAGTTCACGAAAGGGTACGTAATATTTTCCTCCATTACATCGTGTCTACTTTCTGAGTACTGCAAATATTTTGATGTAGGTATGTGAAATGTGGTGTACTATAAAAATAAACGTTTCATGGTTGATAATTGGTTGTGTTATTCGTTGACGATGGCGTTAAACGTCGGTCTCGACGTATCACTAGATAACGTGTAACTGTGGAAGGCAAGGGAAGAAAATAGCACAAAATTTATATGAAAAATTATGAGACTTCCCGTCGAATTCTCAACGGGCGTTACATTAGCCCCTGATAATTATCAGCATAGAAAACATTTTCCCATAAGTTTATGCAGCAGATGCTATACTTACACGCGCATAAGGCGCGATTTAATTCCCTTATCATGGATTAAGTTGCCTCTCGTGCTGCAGGTGCAGTGGTTTTCTCGTGGATGTCCCTCGCGATGCTGTACTCAGCGTGCCTCTACTTGCTGCTGTGCCTTGGCGTGTGGTTCACCAATGAGAACCGGATGCAGGCCATAAGGAACGCCAACGGACGCTTCGAGGACTCTGTGGACGCCTACATGCTGTTCGTGTACCTCGTGCCACTCGTCCACCTGCCCTTTACTCACTGGAGGGAAGCTTCCAGAATGGCCACCTACATGAACAACTGGGTTCAGTTCCAGGTTAGGGCATTATAAAGAAAGATACTCCACATTAACAACAAAAGTAAACGTTGTTATTGGAAGCACTAGACTCGTGTTATATTTAAACAACACATAACAGAATGTTTGTATGAAGAACTGAAATGTAAACCGGGAGTATAGCCAAACTGTACGTAAACAGGCGACCAGGCGCCGCCAGCAACAGCTGGAAAACTTCTCAAGTAGCGTGAGCGCCATCCGTTGGCGAGCAATGTTCCCTCTGTGGATGGGACTTCGAATAATCGCTACAAGAATCAGTCAATCCAGAGGATATCTAATTTAATCAAAAAAATAGTAATAATTCATATTAATACATATTGGACGTTGCCTTGTCTGTGATATATTTTATACACAAGACGTTTCAAGAACATATTGTACCTGTTTTTGTATGGGTTGTTGTCGTTATACTGACAGAGTTTCTATTGTGTTATTTAAGGTTCTCACAGAGTGGTTATGAAGGGTTCTGTGTACTGGGATAGAATGGTGTGTAGTCCGTTGAAATTCAACAAATGTATCGGATGAAAATGTCTCCTACAGCTTTGGTTTGCAAAAGTAAACGAAGCAAGAATCCAGCATGAAACATGTAGCATCTGCTCTCTCTCTCTTAAGGTCAACACTGAAATTTTTGCGATGGTTGCTGCTGCACTGTATCGCTCAAACTACACATGACTGAATGTACTTAATTCAACATACTGCTCACAGATGAGTAGTCACAAGAACAAACATGCAACTACACGTATTTACGGAAATGAACAAATTGAACTTCTTATCGCGGCTGGTGTCTGCTTGCATTTAGGCATGACTCACATTTTTACATTCTCAAAGTTTGAGTATATTAGACATCTGTACATGAGAATGTGTTTCGATGTTGGATAAGACTTGTTCATTATCTGGTGTAATAGCAGATAAGTAGAGCTCGACTACAGAGTAATCGCACATGCGCAGAAGATAATTTTCATGCATGAGCGCAGCGGGTGAGTCAGTATTCTCTGACAACCAATGTGAGGGGTACACATTTCATTTCGCTGCTGACAGCCAGTTTCTGCTTTGGACTGGCCTGTAACGGGCCTACTTACTCCCGCTGTCGTGTTTTCCCTTTCAGTTCTCCTACTTCGAGCAGGTTTCTCAAGCTGTTAGTCGTTGGCTTCCCACCGCGGAGGCCCTGGTTCGATCCCGGGTCTGGTCAAGTGGGATTTGTGGTGAGCAAAGTAGTGCTGGAGTAGGTTTTCTCCGAGTACTTCGGTTTCCCCTGTCAATCTTCATTCCGCCAATTGCTCCACAATCACCCTCACCTATCATCTGGGGCTGGTACAATAGGTCAGAAGTGGCCGCAGTAGTCCCACCCCACTAGCAAAAAAAAATAGCGCAGGTTTGTACCATCATACAGTAATCGAACTCTAAAACTGTTCCAGTGAAAACATTTTTAAAGCGTTTACGGGAGCTCCAATCACATCCACGATTTTTATACCGATAGAAGTTTCCGATTAGGCCGCGCCTAGTTTTACGATCACGCAGAAAACAAGGGAATAAATCACTGTACATGAGGACCCGGATGGCGTAATTGAAATGTTTTGTTTCTGCTCCCTTTGTTCGCAGAATCAGTATGACCGCGTTACGGGTGAGGGCCTGACAATCCCACTGAAGTGCCAGTGTCTGACTACAGTGCTGCTCACAGTGGGGCTGTCGCACATCAGCATCCTGGCCAGTTACTTCTTCACAGCCACGTCGAACAATACCGTGCCGGAGGTATTTCTCTACTCCTACCTCGCCACTTTCAGCAACCTCACTGGTTTCTTCTGGTACTTCATGTGCGCTGCCTTGAGATGTGCTGCCATTAGACTCGAGGAAAGTTTATTCAAGGCAAGACACAAATTTAACTGCTATGTCCGTCGTAACTAAATTCTGCCCTGTTCTGATGACAATTCTGCAAGCGGAAATATATATTGGGCTTACTTTGAAACACTGAAAGTAAGATTTTAGATTCTCATGACTGTGTTTTCTTCTGGGATGTTACGCCTATTATATTGGAGCAATCACTGTCCAGTGATTGAGACTAGCTCTTTCTAAGGGACCCAACAGAATAGGTGTTTTCCTTCTCCTGAAGACGGAAACAGATCCAGTTTCCGAAACGTTGTGTTTTTCTTAGTTATCTTAAAAACCAGGACGATGGATAAAGTCCGAAACCCCAATATCTCTGTGTGTTATACACCATCGTCAGAATCCTATAGTAACTAATTACGAAGTAGAATTTGATGATCTTGACTGGAACCGTTTGCTGCAGGATAGGATCCATTGGCTGGATTATCTGAACAGATCAATTAACTTTGCGTTCTGCAAAAAAAAAAAAAAATACAGGAGATTTATCGAAGATCTGCGTGAGAATACGTTTCTCAAGAAAACCTGTATTCCACTGAATGAGTTGCTAGTCTCAGTCTTACGGAATCCGCCGGTTTAATTCCATATTTTCATTTATAAATTTATTAAAGATTGGATATGTAATCATACCAAACTTAACATACAACTGTATATGAATCTGTTTAAATAGTATAAAAATTCTTTATTAAATGGTATATTTGAATATTATTTCCCATTACTTGGGCACTGGATATATAAGAAACACAGCCTTCCTAAATTATTGGCCAAACACCATTTAGTCTATGCTTCATACGTACTTTGCAACGCGTTTCCATCACATGAGGCCATCATCTGACATATAACATCGTTAACTGCTAAACTGTGCATGTGTCAATTCGCTGTTCTTAAGTACTAACGTGCTAAAGCCTAATTTCTTTAGTTCTCTAAAGTTTTAAAAACAATTCGATCTCTAATTAAAATAATACAATTTTAAATTGATGTATTGTGAGATATTTTCTGTGCTCTTCTGTGTCACGTTCCTCTTATTATCTGTATTTAATGCCTGACACGACAGAGGCAGAAGACATGTGCTATGTTCCAGAAGCTAGAGGCAAGCACCACGAGAGCCACAGTGCTGGCAGATTACAGAATATTATGGCTCGAACTGAGTCATCTGGCGACCCAGACCGGTATCGCGTTCTGTTACACGTATGGCTTCTACCTGCTACATCATTTCTTCATGCTAACTCTCTCGACCTACGCCACTCTGTCCGATACCCTGATTGGGACGTTTGGGAACAACATCCCGGTGGCAACGTGTGTCTTCATATCGAGCTTTATGATCTTCACCGTATGTGAAGGGGCCAACGGCGTCGTGCTCAAAGTTAGTTAATTTATCATCATGTTCAGGTGTTCGTGGGGGTAAACATTGTGATCTTCGGGGTTATGTCATGTCATGTCCGGTAGTTGAGTGAGAATGTTTCCCAAGTATACTTCTACGCAGAAGGTGCAGGGAGCATATGACTCCGAAAAGTTTGTACCCGTATACCATAGTGTACGGTGTCATAACAGGAGCCGGGATAGCGTAATCGGTGTAGCGACGGCTACTGACTGGACGACCGAAGGGTCGGAGTTCGAGTCCAAGGAGGATCAAGAATATTCTCTTCACCACGTCGTACAGCCCTGCTTTGGGGCGCACCCCACCTCCTATCCAATGGGTACAGGGGGTTCGTTCCCTGGGAGTAAAGCGGCAGGGGCGTGTAACTGACCACTCACCTACAGATGTGCCGAGTTCAAGAAAAGTGTGGAACTATACATCCAGTCCCCCATACGCCTTCATGGCGTAGTACTTAATTAGTTAATCACAAGGACAACTTTACCTTTAGAGTGACATAACTCTGAAGGTCGCATTATATATTATTATTCGAAAGAATCCCTGCAAACTCTAATATTGTTTCCTGCCCACAGAATCCTTAGACTCAACATTTAACTAAACAATAGCTCTCTGTTCCTTTGTACTCTCGAATGGAAGATATGAATTTTATTTTGTATTTATCTAAGTTGGACCGCCTCTGGGGTCTAGTGGTCAGATTTCCTGGCTACAGATCCAAAGGTCCGGGTTCCATTCCCGGCGCTACCAAATTTTCTGAGAAGTAGTGGATCTGGAACGGGATCCACTCAGAGTCGTGAGCATAATTGAGGCGCTATTTCTTTGAAATAGCAGCTCCGGTCTAGAAAACCGAAATTAACGTTGCGCTGACCACGCGACACCCTCTGTCCGCTAAAGCTGGCACTATGATCGCCGACAAACGGCGATCGCTCGGTCGGTATAGTTCGCTTGCGGACTAAAACCACGGAGTTTGTTTTTTTGTTGTTTAGCTAAATTGACTGTTCTCCCCTCCGCCCCCTCTACGCCGGTTGCGGGACCTGCTCAACGTCTTACGTAATGGAAATCTTGAGCTCCTCTCCGGGGTTAATAAGAATTATTCGAAAAGTCTTGCACGTTTTTGCAGATGCCTGTGTACACGACATGTCTCCTGGTTCTTTGCACGCGCATGCGCTCTTCGTCCTCAGTCGTAGGTGAACTGAAACGTACAGTGGAATTTGTGAGGACTCAATTTATACACCGCGCTTTCTGCTATTCCGCGGGCACACAAGTCAGAAACCAATTGACATTCAATTCACAGAAGCAGTCTTGAAGTTGGGATTTTCTTTTAATTAATTTAACCAAATTCAGCAGTATTTTTAAACCAAGCAACTGAAAAATATACAGTGCAATTATGTATATAATCGACATGATGACCTTAAAATGTCAAAATATATTGTCAAGTGTAGAGGTTTTTAGCGTGACTTATAAGAGGAGTTTTGTACTCCATTATTCGATTTTTGCACATTATACAGTCACACAACATGCAACTACAGGCAATTACAGCGCTATGACTATTCAGCACACTTTCAGCTCACCGTTACATCTGCACTACGGTTCTCGGTTCTCACTAGTCGTATCCTGGCAACGGATTTATCACAGTCTTTCTTTAAATTCAAATCACACTTGAAATCTTCTTTTCACGTCCTAATAACCTTCGACTACCATCTCCAGAATCCGACCCAGTTCTTAGCAACGACTATCTGCTCCATAGGAACTTCTTATCATATATCCTCGGGGCGGACCTCACGGAAAACACCTTCTTCTCTTGTCCCGTATTGTTTTAGGCGAGTTTAGTGATCCGTTGCTTAAAAACAGACGCCCTATTTTTGTGCGCATTGGTTCCCGCGGGAATGTATTTACCGATTCGTTGCCTAGCAATGATTCTATACGTCACAATATTGTAGCAGACACAGTTTAGTGCATGACAAAACAGCATACCAACAGTCTAGACACACGGCAAGACGTTGAAGTTCCAAGACTGTCACTGCGAATTAAATGGTTCACCAGTGCAAAACAATGCTGAAGTAGAACATTCTCTCACCAAATATGTATAAACATAGAGCGCTGTATTATAATTTAATTAATCTGTTAACTGTGCTTTACAGGTTCAAGTATCATTCCAGAAAAAGCTACTCAGGTATGATATTGGTAACGACCACACGGATACTTGTCGTGAGGTTAGTAGATCTTTACACACATTCGCGTTTTGTTGAGGGTTCTTATGCAACGTCAGCGGCTGGACTTGAGGTTCTATGCTTAATTTTACTTCTATGTGATATGAGTTATTATTGCATTGTAAATATCTTCAGAACACTCTCCTTCTGCTAACGTAAAAATTCAGCAATATATTCCACATTGTTTATAGTTGAATTTCAAGACAATCACTTGGATATTCGTCTTCACACCTCGGAATATTCCTGACTCAGCATGTTTGTACGAGATGATTCCATGCTTAAAGGGAAAGCCAAGATCCACCTTAATATAATCAGACTAACTGAACTTACATGCGGAAATCAACGCGAGATTATTCTAAAAGAAGGAAATGCAAAACGTGGCCAAGAGTAGAAAATAAAATTCGATATGTTAATACACGCAAACGTCGCTCAATAATTGATTTCAATTTTAATATCACAGGAATTTCTCTGTGTGTTTTTGCATGTTTAAGTCCAGTCGCTTAAAGATTAAAACTTTAAAAGAAATAAATGTCAATAAAATCACAACTTAACAGAAGAAAACTCTCATTTCCAGAATAAAAATATTATAGTTTTATGAGGGAATATTTTTGTTAAACTCTTCAAATCGCCGTGGTTTTATATATGTACATCACGTGCTTTAGTAATCATGGTCTCTCTATCGTGTCCAGATGCTGTATTTATAATTTCGTGAAATTCTCAAACTTAAGAGCTGTCCATTCTCTTAACAACAATCATCGATTGTTTTTTATGTAAATGAAACGTGTTAACCTGTAATGTATAAAGTGAATTTTTAAATATTATTAAAATGAATGTCATGCTTCGAAGTGTTAACAAAAATGTTTCTCGTTCGAAGAAATAAGTTTATAATACAAATTTCAATATTAGGTTCCATTTTAGTGGGCACGATTTATACCGTAAATACGCTTATACGTGTATGTTTTACTTAGAAATAATTGTGGAATGAGAACACAACATTTCAAATGCTTCTAGAAGCTGAGCTGTGATTTATTTCTTATTTGTACTCACGTTTTTACGATCTCAATTTAACCAGAAATATTATTCAAATATTCATCTCCTGCAATCTTCATCATCTGGAAATTTTCTGCCACTTGTTTGGGAAAAAATTATAGCAGGTAAAAATCCGTTCGTGTGGAAATAAAATTAAGCAGAAAAATTAAAGTGTAATTTTATGGAGATCTGCAGACTGCAATTTACAGCATCTTTATTCACGTAAATAGTGATAAGTGTCCCGCCTCATTGCAGTCAGGTGTCTGATACTGCTACGTAGCAAGAGTCGACGAGAGGAAGCATCACGAATTTATGAAACTGTAAATTCTTTTCTCGATCTAGTATTAAGTATGTACCTTTTAATTATAAGTTGTAAATTAAGTAAGTAAAGCTATCCCTGTAACAGGCCGTGAATGCCCATGTGGTTGTGAGACGTCGAGATCCCATCTTTTCTGTAGACAATCGGCTCACAGATGGCGGTAAGGTTGTCATCCCTACGCGCCGGCTGCCTTCCCCCCCCCCGGACAGATTCCTGGTACTTATTTCTGTTAGAGGCTTAGTCGTAACCAGGGCCGTAGTGCGGCTGAAAAGATTGGGTAAATAAAAAAATCTCATCCTGACTCGAACCCGCAACCTTCCTTCATGTAGCATAGTGCCTCAACAAACTATGCTACCGAGTGCCCAATTTTAAGTTGTAGCTTGTTCTGTCTTAAAGAGGCAACTGTAAACTATTTTTTCAGATAAGCACGTTCCTCCAGACCATCTCCGCTGAGCCACCCGTCATCTCTCTTGGAGGGTACGTCAGGATCAACCGAGAGTTGCTCGTAGCGGTGAGTAAGCGGCAACTTCTTCCGTACACCGATACGGGGCACTGCTCTCCATAATAAACATACTTAAACGCGACCCAGCTTTTTAAGTAAACACTTCCTTAATTTTTAGTTAAATACTACTTTGTCTGCGCTTCATGAATGTAGTATCTATTGGCCATTGAGGCTGCCACAAGGTATATATGATACTTCAACAATCCTTTGTGCACGGGAAGTAAAATGTAAAAGTCTAGAAGAATTTTGTTATGCTTCGACGACAGGTGGGGTACGATATCCCACCTCTGCCGCCATATGTAATGCTTCGATGGCAGGGGTGGGTAAAACAACTACTAATTCACTTTGTCAGCCATCTCCGTTGGCTAAACACCACCGCTGCCACCAATTTGTTATGCCTAAAGGGGGGACCAATAAAATAATACTAAATTACTCAGTCGCCATCCTTTTGTTGGCTGGCCCCTCCGTCATTGGCACACTTTGTAATGGCGTAAAGCGGGTGCTGCCCCGTCTTTGCCCACTACCTGTCACGCCCCCAAGACTGGGCTGTTATTTTGATTACCCTCAACTAGGATTCTCCTGGCTCTGAACCTTCTTCGTTGCATACAGTTGCCGTTGGCTGCCTGGGGTCAGTTCTGCCTTCGTCGGGACTGGGATAGTTCCTGGTGGGTCTGGGGAGGGTTAGTGCGTGGGGGTGAATCACAACTCCGGTACTTCCTATCCTAATTACACCTGTCTATTTACACTATTATCTACAATAAAGTGATGCCGACGTTCGGTCGGTTTACATAGCATCGTCTCGTTACTAGTTCTTACCCTCACTCTATCATAACGCTTCACCCTTAAAATATTCTGCTCCAGAACTATAAATACTACAAGCTTAAATAAGTTTATCACAAAATCAATTGTCACAACAATAAACAACAAATATGCGTGCTCCGCATACTACCAGCAAATCATAATACGAAATAAAACAACGGCCATATTTACCACACTGGAACCTCGGCCATTACTCGTTACTCTAATCTTCCTGTCCTACCCTAAGGCTCGAAGGGCACACTGGAGATTGCTTTTCAACATTTCACAACAACAATAATATATTTGAACAACATGGCTAGTATGAGCAAACATGACTTACTCGAGATAGAGACGCAGCGACACCATCACTTGTACGACCCATGTCGAGCAGAGCCTTCGGCTGCTCGTCTAATATTACAATTTCGATCAGTCCCCTCAACGTCTTTTTTCTCTCTTTATACTATGAAACTGCTAACGCAGCTACTTCCCCAAAAGTAAGCTACCTCCTCCGTTTTATGCCATTAAATTACAAGCGGTGGGTTCCCATTGGCTAACCGCCTTTGTCGTGGACGAATCCGCGGTGTCTCATCCTTGTGTAATTGGAACTTCATTCCCTCCAGTAGCCTAGTAAAGCAACTTGCATTGGTGCGATTACGCATCTCTGCTGACTACGTACTTTGTTGACCTAGTTCACTTCTATGTGTTGCAATCCTTAGCCTGTTCGTTGTGAAAACTCTCTTGCAATTGTAATATTTGGGGCCATGCCTCAAATTTCCCTTTTCGAAATTTGCGGCATAACAAATTTAGTTCTAATTTTTAAAACAAACAGAATTCTCTTAACCTTTAAACGCCGGACTTCTGAAATAGTGGTAAGCTTGAGCTGGCTGGAGTTTATTTAAATGCCCGCTGCTGGTGCGCGTTTAAATGCCCGTTGGTACTCTGCCTTTAAATGTCCGTTCCTGTTAGTGCGCCTAAACAATTTTAAGCATTGTGTTTAAAAATGCTGTATCTAACTCAATTTTTATGTTAAATGGATGGAATTAACTTTGTTTGTAACAGCAAAGAACATAGTGTTGCATATTACAACGGTAGATTTGAAAAATTTTATACACAATGTTCTACTCTGTTTTCAATTTTTTTTTCTCTTTTATGAAGTGTACTGCAAAATTGTTTTTCCAAGTTCTTCACAGAGTAGTTACTATAGGATTCTGACGATGGTGTATAACACACAGAGATATTGGGTTTTCGGACTTTATCCATCGTCCTCGTTTTAAAATAACTAAGAAAAACACGACGTTTCGGAAACTGGATCTGTNTGTTCACCTAGGTATCATTTTAATTTTTCTATTAGGGCTTTACTCAAGCCTGTCTGGTAATTACTACATTTAAAAATAAATATTTAGGACTGTGCATTCCCTTCTACTAGCGGCGTGTGCGCGCGCTTCCCCTAGCGGAGTTCAAATGCCCGAATGGCCAAAACTGGGTACTTTGGCCACGACGACCTTACTCACCACTGGCACAAACGGGGCACTTCGGCACTTAAAGGTTAAAATAATATGATTGAAGATTGGTTCCCGTTTTGTGTTCTTCCCAGCCGCCTTTTGGCTGTTGTGTATTGTCACAGCGATGCGAATATTCTTGGATGTTTCGGGTTCTGCATATTATGGCACATGAAGTGTGTGGATTTCGAATATTCCATGGAGTTGGGTCCTTTCGGCGGTGGTGGTTAGGGCTTGTGAGAAGCTCAGCTAGTTCCTTATTCCGCAACATATACACTCGCAGTATTCCAAAGATCAGTACCGTTTTCAGACGTCTGCTACTTTTCCTTATCCTGAATCAATGAATTTGGTCATCACCTCACCCACTTATTTATTTGGTACCAGCTTTAATATTATCATCCCATCTATGCTTATACTATCCAAACACCTTTCCTTTAAATTTTTCGACTAAAATGTCGTACACATATCTCCTATGCGTGACATATATTCTGCATATTTCAGCATCCTTCTCTTGCTCTCCTTAATAAAAAATGGGGATTATTCAAATTATGGAGCTCTTCATTATCTACTTTTCTCCATTGCCTCTGACTTCTTTTGTTTCACTTTCACACATTCTCCTTGGCACCCTGGTCTCAGGATTCTTCGAAGCGTGTTCTTGCCTTACGGAAGTTGGATAAAGTTCAAGATCACAAAAGGGATTAAGGTGGAAACTAAACGACAAACACTGCAGCAGATGTAAGGATTAACAAAATAGATCAACTAAGTGGGGATATTTTATAATCTAAATATATTAAAACAAGCCGAAACAGTTGAATGTTCCCTGCTCATTACATTGTCCTTGTTGGTGGTATAGGCGAAAGGGTTTCTCTCTTTCATGTTCCCTAGAGCTCCAAATGGCTGCTTTCACTGCATCAGAGTTCTCATGCACCCTATAATGTTTATATAAGTTATTATTTATGACTGTTGCATCAATAACTTCAAGAGACAACCTCAATCACTGGACGAGTTATTCAGATTAGTTCTTCCTAACGGGCCCAACAGAGTCGATGTCTCCCACTCCTTCACCTGTAGAAGGAAACAGATCCGATTTCTGAAACATTGTGCTCTTCAGACTAAAGAATGAAGGAAAAAATTTTTAAAAAACTCAGTATTCCTGAGTCTTATAGTTTCTATTTACGCTTTATATGTACATCACGTCAATGCATCTTTAGATAAGAATTCATCTTCGTGAGTCCTAACGGCCTTGCGTTGAATCAGCCATCCAGTTAATCGAGACAAGTAAATAAACCGAGATCATGTCAGTGTGGGATTAATGGCGGGAAAAGTGGTAATGTATTCATTGCACAATTTCATTATTTTTATGCATTAGGGGAGACAGCTGTGTTATGCCTGAAAGGGGTGGGTTACAGAAACTACTAATTCACTTCGTCAGCCAAGTCTTCCTTGGCTACTCCCACCCCTGACACCACTTTGTAATGGCGTAGAGAGGGCGCGATGATTCTGACCCGTCTCTACCCACTAACTGTCACGCCCCCAAGGACTGGGGTGTTATTTAATTTCCTGAGACTGGGATTCTCCTCGCCCTTAAACTGTTAGTGCATGCGGCTGCTGTTGGCTGCCTGGGGTCAGTTGTGCTTCGTCGGGACTAGGATAGCTACGGATGGGTCTGGGAAGGGTCCTGTTCGTGGATGTAAATCACAACTCTGAGTTACATCCTACCCTAATAATACTGGTCTATTCACACTTCAATTTACATCCTATTAACAGTGATAACAATGCCGACGTTCCGTCGGGTCTACATAGTCTCGGTCCGTTAACTAGTTCTCACTTGCTTCCTGATCTCCCACCTAGGGCGTATGGCTTGGGTCTATTTCTTTACCGTCATTCTTTACCACTCCTTACCCAGTTCCTACCCTGGCCTAGCCCATTACTCGCAGGGCACACTGGACATTGCACTTCCACAATTCAACAAACAACAACAAGTTTAAGTAACATGGCTAGTTTGAGCAAATTGACTTACATGTGATAGAGACGCAGGCGAACACCACCAACCACCATCTTGTTGCACCCATGCCGAAAAGGGCCTTCGGAACTTTTCTAAATATTACGGTTGATCAACAAAAGAGTGTGTCGAGAGAGATTCGGAGCCTTTCTTTTCGCACCTTTATACTCTAAAACAACTGTCGCAGCAGCTTGACAAAAGAGGGAAGTTACCTCCTCCCTTTGCCCTAGTTAAGGGTGGCGGCTTTCTATTGGTTAAACTCCTCTTCTCGCGGGCAAATCCGCGGCGTCTCATCCCTGTGTATTTGGTAATTCTGTTCTCTCCAGTGGCCTACAGAAGCGAGCTTCCTGCTCGTGCGATTACGCACCTCTGCTGACTAAGACATTCTTGACCGAGTTCCACAGTTGCCATCTTTGCTCTAATTAATGTGAAACTCTTTTGCATTTGTCGTAACATTTGGGGCCATGCCTCAAATTTCCTTTCTCGAAATTTGCGGTATAACAAGCTACAACAAAAATTCTTATTAATAGACGCAGGAAGCTTCTCTGTGTGAGTCAAACCTTCAAACTTAACGACTTGAGGCTTGGATACTACTTCTTCGCCTACATAGTTCGGCAACTTCTCCTGCTGTTCTGTTGTGCGTGAAGTCGAATCGACTCCTTGCAGGCGTTGCGTTCCCAGATGCAGAATTTCGTTGGAGCTGAAGTTCTCACATCGCTGACCATGAAGAATTTTGTTTCTTGGGGTATAAAGCCGTGCATACTGGTAGAACGCAACTACCTTTTCGGATGGGCATATCGCCTCCATCTTCAGGATCTAGTAGTAAGTCAAGAAACAAATATGAGCAACCAGAAAGCAGAGCTTCCTTGGTTTACTCCTCTGCCCTGAAGAAGAAGGGTATATATTACTGCGAAAGGCCGATTGACTTTTACTGGACCACACGGTGTTATATCGGCAAACATATTTCTGTCTATACATTTAAATTTAGGAATACGAGAAATAGCACAACGTAAACCTGCATGAAGTTACGTTGGGGAAAAGAATTCCAGTCGGGTGGCTTCATGAGGGGAAAGTTGGACAGTTTCAGAAAACCTCTCATTGAGCTTAATAATAATAAAACGTCTTGAGAGACCTTAAGTTCCCATGGCAGAGACTATGAAGATTATTGTTTTTAAAAGTTATATTCATTATCTACCGACGTTTCTATCATAAAAGTCACTTGGTTCCATAAAAACTGACACAAGTGACGAAATCTTAAGTAAGCTATAGCCTCACAATCACATAAGATGTGTGTGGCTGATTCGTTTTCCTGCAGGCACCTCTCACAAGTTGGGTTATCTGTCAGTCCCAACTTGAAAAGTTATCCTTTTAGGTGGCAGTGTCCAGTAAGTAATCCTACCACCCACTTTAGTTGATCTCTGTTTAATTTCAATGGGTCCCTCGTTATCTTGGAAGAGGGTCATGATGTAAATCCTTTTGCCTGTTTGAGTCCATCTATGGTTTCGCAGTGTTTTTTGTAATTTCCATGAGTCCAGTCTCTGATCGCTTTCTTGGAAACTCCAATTTAGATGCCGCAAGCTGGTTCAGGTCCTGTGAACGGTTGTTCAGATCCTGTTCTTGCCAGCTGATCTGCCGTTTCATTCTCTGCAATACTCTCCTACTGAGATGCCGCAAAGCTGGTTCAGGTCCTGTTCTTGCCAGCTGATCTGCGGTTTCATTCCCAGCAATACTCTCCTACTGAGATGCCGCAAGCTGGTTCAGGTCCTATGAACGGCTGTTCAAATCCTGTTCTTGCCAGTTCATCTGCGGTTTCATTCCCAGCAATACTCTCCTACTAAGATGCCGCAAGCTGGTTCAGGTCCTATGAAAGGCTGTTCAGATCCTGCTCTTGCCAGCTGATT